TTGGTTAAAATTTCTTTGTGGTTGATTATATGTTTTTGATGGATGTGTATAATTATAATTATGGTCTGTAAAGTTGTTTCTAGTGAATGTTTTGCGTGTTTTTGATGGTATTGTCATGGGTCTGTATGTTTGGTAATCCATATGTGAATATTTAGGGGCAACCGAAGGTTTAACGGTTGATTGTAAGGTTACCTGTGTTTGTGAAGGATTTGTATTTCTTGGTGTTGTTAAATTTGGGCGTATTGGTGAAATACTTTGTTGTGTAGTTGTTGTGTGCACAATTTCTTCATTTATGAAGTGTGATGGTGTCTGGATATCTTGTTGAGTAAGATTCCTAGTTCCATTGAGGTTTTCATTGTGTATAACTGTAGAGTTTAAACTATTATTTTGTGTATCAGGCAAAAATGTATTATAGTTTAATGGTGTTGCATCAATGGTTAATGGTATTACTTTTACATAATCTCTTATGTAAGATATCGTACTTATTGCTTGACTTGAGATTGATTGTGGGAAGCTTATAAATGCTGGATGAGACCATTCGGGGTCCCAAACATAATCTGATTGTTCTGTGATAGCGGTATCATCGTTCGAGTTTTGGGGTCTAAAATTTTTTCTTGCTTGTGCAATTAAATCAATATTGTGTGTGAAATAATCTATTATGAACCATGCCAAAATTTTTTGTAGATCGTGTTTTGTATGTTGTGAAACGTCGTCTTTCGTGAAATTTTCTTTAATGATGTTTAAATAACTAGAGAGTAGTGTGATTTCATGTCGTACTTTCAAATGTTTAGATGTTTCTGTCGGTGAGACATTTGTTATTGGGATTTCGTTTTCTAATATCGAAATATAACTATATATTATTGCGAAAACTTCATTGGTGAATATGGAGTTTGCTCTTTGTGAGTTATGATATTGGATGCTTTTTATATATTCTGAAAAAAACTTTTGAAAATTCTAAATCAAGATCGTCTGTTTGAATTGTATATTTTCTATTATTATGGTTTGGTGAGGTGAATTCTATGGAGTAGATTCCATACTGTTGTGTTATGTTGCATATATCTTTTAAGTAGTGGTCTATGATTTGTCTTTTGATTTTTACATCTGGGAACTCTGTTTTACATGGACTAATTCCGGGTTCAAATAAATTTACGAGTAAATTTTGACAAAATATGTGTTGTCCTCTATCAGTATCTGCGTCTACTATAAAAGGAAAGATTTCATCATCATCTGGAGTTTCTTCACCTGGAGTGTGCGTTGAGCTCATTTTTTCGTTCGATTACTGTTAATATGTAATTATTAATGTGTCGAATTGGTTGATTCCAATTGTATAAATGTACTGGTTTGTGTTTGTACTGCTTTTTTATTCTTCTTTTTCCTCTTTGTGATGAATTTGAAGTTGTTTCTGAGTCAGAGAAATATAATTGATCGTGAATTGGGCAATTTTTATCTATTGATTCTTTTAGTTTGTAAAGTTCGTCTAAACTGTTGGTTTCTGATTCTGAAAATGCGTTTCGATTTTTTGAAAATCTTTTTCGTGTTATTTGTCTTTGTTTCGTTATTATTTTTCTTTTTAGTGTTTGTCGTTTTGTTCGAATGTATCCAACTGTTTGTGTATGAGGTGTGATTACAAGGTCGTATTTTTTGTTATCTATTTCACAATTGTGTAAAACGATTGTTTGTTTATTTCCTAGGTTTTTAAATGACATAAGGTTTAGAATGACGGATGCAAAGGGTTGTTAAATGATTTCTATTTTCCTAAACTGTTAGTTCTTACGATTTTTTGGTTAGCTTAACCTGGGTCTGTTTGTTCAGGGTTGGAGAGAAAAGTATATCGATTCCGAAGAATGATTTTTTACTTTCTCGTGGCTAGTATAAGTTAAGGTGTTAACTTACTTAATCTTACTTAGGGGTAGTGATTGTGTTCAAGGGTTGGAGAATAGTAAATCGATCCACAAGGTTCAGGTATAATTAGAACGCGAGTAGTTCGTTAGATACTATTTTAAACTTACTAAGTCTAAGATTTATCCTGGGTCTGGTAAGAGGGAGGGTCAAGTGAAGGATGAATAACCGAAGTTCTTCACTGTTTATCCTAATTTGAATGATTAGTTTTGTTTAAAAATTTCTATTAGTCTTGGGTCTTTAGAAAGGGTTGGGTAGTGAATCGACGTTTGAGATCGTTAGACACTAATTAAGTGGGTGGGGGAGAACAAAGTTGTTCTGTTTGATCCAAGGATAAGCCTTGATGATCAAATTTGAAATTTAATTAAGTAGAAAATGATTTAAGATCCAAGGATAAGCCTTGATGATCTGGTTTTAAAATTAAGTGAATTTAAGTTTTAATAAATTTTTAAATGTGTGTAAAGGAAAGATTTAGTGTTTTGATGATATTAGTGGGTTTATGATTGCTGTTATGTTTTAGATGATGGAGCTGGAACAACAGGATGATTTATGATTACTAACCATTTATTGTCATGCTACTAATTTTTATTTTTATTTTTCAATAAATATTTTTCAAACATGTTTTGTATATTACTGCAGAATTTTAGGAAAACGATCTTAGATCTTTTTATCAATCGTTATTGTATATTAATAATTTTGTTTAGCGCCTGAAATGATTTTGAAGATTAACTTCAAGATTTTATGTTTGCAAATGAAAATCTAAATTCATTGCCAGTAGTATTCTAAATATAAAAGTTTGTTCTGGTTTTTGCCTAACTATCATATAGCTATATGGCAAGTTTCTACTTTGTCGTATGTCGTCTCTGGTTCGAGGTCTTCTTCCAATTCCGGGTAGTTCTGTTATGGTTCGGAATATTGGCTCTGATCTATTGAGTCGTAGAGACATTTCGATTAAATTATTGTCGTATAACATTTTGTAAATGTTTTTGTCTAATTTCTAATCTATTTTGGTTAATTCTAAGCTATTAAGGTCTTGTTCGAGACTTATGGTCGCACCAGATGAGTTAGGACCGAGTTGGTTAACTCATAGAGTAATTTCGGATAGGGTACACCGTCTGCTCGTCACGCTATCTTATTTTCGGCCGGATAGATTCGTGCAACTTCTTAGTCTAATACCGATCCTAATCTTACTCTTATACTATCTAGTCTCAGGTTGTTTAACTAGTCTCTGCTAGGCTCAATAGATCTAGGGTATACTGGTTTATTGCGGCTGCTGAAGTGCTCGGGAGAGTCCAACTAATTTCTAAGTTAAATTCAAATCTCTCTGGTGCTGAAATTACAAGTAACTTCAGCACTTACAAATAAGTGGGTTGTTAGTTAGATGGATCATGATTGGTTAATATTAAATACTTTACATTGGTAAAATATCTAAATTATCCAATCATAAAATGTAGTTTAGATCAGGTTCCAGCTCTCCCAAAACGCTCGATAATAATTTTCTACGACAAAATATTCCAGGACAGTCAACTATTCGAAAAACTAATTGTTAAATCGACGTTTTGAACATTTTTTGACGAGTGCTCCCCGCGTTCATCTCAAGACATTTATTTATTATTATTCTTGTTTGGTTATTTACTGGATAGTCGAAAAATTGTTTCTTCTCGGATAGACGAAAAAAAATTATTGTTAGATAGCCGAAAAAAAATTCCCGGTAGCCAAAAAAATTGCGTAACAATAGTCGCTTTTTTATTCTATCTAATTCATTGAAAGCAAAAAAGCTATTACACTCAAAAAAATTTTTACTCCATTGGTTTGTTTAACAGTTTAGGTCCGAAAAATTAATATCTAAATCATTTGAAAAAAAATTAGTCGAACTTTGCGACTAATTAGCTGTTTTAGTCATTTGTTGTTTTATTGTTATTAAACGTAACAAGAAATTTCAAGTTTTTTGACTATCTGGGAATGCGGCGCTATGGGTACGCAGCCTTGATACCTTATTTCAGCGAATAACAAACAGATGGGCCTGATCTAGACAGTGAACTTAGTTTTCAGTTAAGTGAAATTTAATTAAACAAAATTCAAGCTTGTTAATGTATAAGTAGTTTGTTTTCTTTCAAAACTTCCAATTTCTGAGTGTCCGAAAAAAAGACGGCAGCTGTTTTTGATGGGACTTTAGGACGACCCTACACACAATTCTCCAAATTGTATTTCTGAGAAATATGGAGCTTAAGTTCGAACATTTCATTTAAAATGTTTTAACGCTCATTTATCGTCTCAATCTCACGTAGTCTTAGGTCTTTTTTACTTAGCACCAATTTCCGTTGTTTGTTGGTTTTTTACGACAATTGCTTTATTTTACTGCGGCGATTATCACAGATTCAGTAATTTCCACCAAGGAATAAAACAGTTAAGAAGTATTTTGAACAATCTGTTCTTCGTTTCAAATTTCCGTATGAGCCTCAATTCGTTCGTATTTTAGACTCTGCAAGGTTTTCTACCTTACGAACGATATGAGGCTCATACGGAAATTTGAAACGAAGAACAGATTGTTCAAAATACTTCCTAACTGTTTTATTCCTTGGTGGAAATTACTGAATCTTTGATAATCGTCGCAGTAAAATAAAGCAATCGTCGTAAAAAACCAACAAACAACGGAAATTGGTGCTAAGTAAAAAAGACAAGAAGTTTTAATCCTTGGTGGAAATTACTGAATCTTTGATAATCCAGTGCTGTATTTATTGTTCAGGGGTTAACTTATGCATAGATGCTGTAATTGGGTACCGACCTATAAGCATGCGTGTCGGTTAGCATGCCCATGTAAATGTTTGAAGATTCGCTCGTTGTAATTTTAACTATAGGATAACACTGAATCAGAAATAGTTAAAGCCGTAAATTAAATCAAAGCTGGATTTCTTGGTGTTTGTCATAAAGTTCGACAGCATGGAATAAGGCTATTCATAGAATTGTCATCAATTTTGTTAAATGTATGCGGTGTGTACTTATAATCTTTATCGGCATAGCCTTGCCATCATTATTATATTTAGATAGAAGCCTTGACTGAAAACTAAAAAGAAAAACTCTCTTGAATATTGTGTTGATTATACTGGCTATCAGTTGATCGAAAAGAAGCTATGATAATTTATCTTGTTTAAGTAGTTATGCTTTGAAATCGGGTTTCATACGCAACATACATGACTTCAGATAATTGATCGAGTTCAAGTTCAGGGCTGGTGTTTCTTGAACCAGTTGAGAGTGGATGTTTATTCCCACAGGGAGCTAAAACAGATTCTTTGCATGAAAAGCTCTTAATGGTTTTTCGAAATTCGAACAAGCTTTTTTATGTTTGATACAAAAAAAGAAAAACTAAGAAAGAAATATATTGTTTTCAGCTATTTAACGGGGTATGTTTTAAAATAATAAAAAAAATACTCCATAATCCCGAAAATTAATCTGCTGACGATTCCAACGTCCAACTGAAAAGCATTTATAATCTCTTTATGAATGTATTGCAATGGGAAAAAATAAAGTTCAAAAAATTCTCGTAGCCTCAGAAGAGGTTTTTCGAGTTATGACTACAAACAATTTTTAAAATTGAGTTAAATCTCTTTTGAAATATGCGGAAAAGTTCCACAAAAAAACAGAAGTTGAACCATAAGTAGCATCACTTTTGAGTCATCCAAGCATTCTGCTGTCTCGAAGTTCGAGTGGTGTCTGGTGGCTTGGACAGCGGCGGCGTGGTTCCCCACGGCGAGTTTGAGCTTCGGCTACTCGTACCGCCATTGTTTGTTCGTTTCGGTGCTCTGTCAGTGGTGCTTCGGGTCTTCGCTGGCTCTTCGTTTTTGCTTGGATTGGTGTTGGTATTTGTTTTTGGCTTTCGGGGACTCTTGTTAGCTTGTGGGTGTTTTGCTTTTTTAGTTTGTTGAACTGCTGGTTTCGCTTTTTTATCTGATTGATTTTTCTTTTTCTCCGCCATGACTGGCAGCACTCTGAAACGCAGGTGTTGTTTTAACAAGAGTAGCCCGGCGCTGTGTGGGTAGCACAGAATGTTTCGAACACAGTTATCATTGCATAAAATAAGACATTTTTAAAGAGAATAAACTTGCAGCTGATAAACGGCAACATACAATACCATTCAAAAATATTCTTATTAGCTATTTACGTCGTGGAATTGAGAAAAACTTCATCGGACAAGTCAAAATTTCTTCGCTCATCGCTTCATTTGAGTCTGATTGGCAAAGTTCAGACCAGTTTTTCTCCCAACGCTCAGAAAAAATTTTTAAAATTGTCTTGGGAACTCAAAAAAAATTGAGTTTTAAGGTGGTCCCATATTTCATCTGACAGAAATCCCATACTTGATTTTACTCAGTAGCGGATTTAGGGGGGGGGGGGGTGCAGACGTCTCTTCCCTCAAAGGAACATTTTATCAGAACCCCTGACTAACCAAGGGATCCCCCTTTGGTGCTAACTTAAGACCTTCATTTTTCGCTGTCTTACTCTAAAATTTTACTATTTTTAAAGGGAGAGCATGCGAAAACACGCGATTTGTTGGACCAGTATCTTTTTATTGCTCTACCACTTAGCATCGCCTCGAGTATCAAATTTGACCACGTTTTATGAAATCGAAACCTAAAACCACTTTGATTGTCGAAACTATTGTTTTGATCACGCTAGAAAGGGAACAATATCATAGCGTAGAGTAAGGCATTTTCTTACTTACTCTACGCTATTAGATTGTTCACTTTCTAGTGTAATCAAAACAATAAGTTCGACTATCAAAGTGGTTTTATGTTTCTATTTCTTAAATCGTTGTCGCTTGAGGGACTCGATGCGATAATAAGTGGTAGAACAGTAAAAAGTTACTTGTCCGCCAAAACTCAGCGGATTGTGCCAGTTAACTTAGTATAGATATTTAGTCTTACTTTTCAAGAAATTGAGGGCTACTTGATTGGGATATTTTTTATAAATCAGACCAAATTTTAAACGAATACTTCAGAGTGGGAATGATCGAAACTGGAGTCTACGTGTTCCCTAGTGGGTGTGCTATGGTTTATTCCAAATGGGCATCGCGCCTTGTAGAATTTTCGTTTAATTTTTCAAAGATTTCATAATGATGGCGACAGTGTGACATGAATACTATCACGCACAAGTTTGCTCCGAATTGAAATCGGGCAAGTTATTTGGTCATATTATCTTAGTTCAAAATTTATAGTTAATCAAACTTTGTTAGCCAAAAACTAATGGAGACAATTTAAAGGGAAACCGTATTACCACAATTTTGCCCTGATATACTAGCAGTCTTGGCTTGATCATCAAACTACAACAAGGCTCAAATTTATACAATTTAAGCAAATAATCTAGTTTCAAAGCAAGGAAAATCTAGATAAAAAATTTCTCGAGTGACTGGTTTATGATAGACGAGGTTGTAATAAAAGAGAGCTTTCCGCTTTCAATCGAGCAACGGATCGTGTTCGATTTTCTTTGCGTTTCGGTATTTGATCTGGAATTCTTTCAAAAAAAGAGTTAAAGATTTCACCCATAGTAGCATTTGCTTCGAAAAAAAATTGTTGAATCAAAGCTTTCAAAATCTTGCTTTGGAAGCGTGCTTTGGCGAATCAATGATAGCTCTTTAGAGGGATGTTTTTGTTGCTGAGACATCGTCCAATAAAAGTACAAAACGTTTCAGCTTATGGACTCAGCTATGTTCCTTGAAGAGCTAATTAACTTGATTGTAACTTGACAAAGCTCATAAAAAATCTGATAAGAGAATTGAAAAAATCCTCGCTTAGCAGCAAAAACTGGACAAAAAAAAAACTTTTTTTCAGATATTTTAAGATTTTATCTGAATAGGAAAACTAATTGGAACTGACTGACTTGAAGTATTATAATTGCTTAAAGTGATTAAATAAATAATCCGTACTAGCCATATCTTCGAAAATTTTCATGAAGTAGCTTTTTGCAAGCTTAAATTTTTTGTAAGCGGAGACTTAATCAAAAATTATCAACTTGTGTAATTTTGGTCCTATTAGTTTTTCAATTCTCAAGATATAATTTTTTTTAATCGGTGATATCGATAAATCCAAGTTCGATAGATGATTATAACATAAAAAACGAAACCATAAAAAAAAACACCCAATTTGACCAAAACTCCTTATCATACAGTTTCCATATATGAAAAACTTCTTGCCATACAGTTCCATACGTACATAAAATTGTATGAATTCTCTATGATAAGCATTTTTCCATATATGGAAACTGTATGACAAATAATTCAATTTCTGAAAAATTTTGTGACAAAGACCTTGGTTTACTCAAAGCTGGAGTCACAAAAATTTGGACAATCTTGCACTTACAATGCATAGAAAACGACTTGAATTTTCTGCGAGCTGTCTTTCACAAATGATATAACGAAAGTAACAAACATTTAAATTTTGGCAAAATTTTTAAACGACGATTATTTTTAAAATTTGAGTGTTAAAATTATTAGACACTGATCAAGACATACATAAACATGCTATACAAAAGAAATTGGAGTTTTCAGTGTTTTTGAAAAAGTTATTGAGCGAAAAGGAAAAACAAACCAACATTAGTGTATTCAGAACTACGTTATGCACACGAAAATTTAAATTTTGCATGCTAAAAAATTTTTTTTGGCAAAAGTTTGAGAACAAAAAATTCGCAATGCGTTTAAAAAAACCAAACAAATTTTAGGGCACTTTCAAAATTACTTAGAAAAATTTTTGTGTCGCCATCAAAAAAATGCTTATCGTACAATTTACATATATGGGAATTGTATGATAAGCATTTTTTTCAAAAAACGAAAACCTCGGTTTTTTCATCACTGTTATTTTAGAATCAAACAGCCGCAGAAGTTAGTTTTTATCTTTTTTCAATCATTTTTCGAAATTGTACGAAAATTATATGACAAGCATTTTCCCTTAGATTTGATGTATGTAATTGTATGATAAGCATTTTCGGTGTATGAAGGTCAACCTGGTAAGTTAATGTACTTTCAAACAATGGTTTCTCCTGCAGGATTATGTGTTTTTGAGGGAGCCCTCAGAGGTGCAATAATAAAATTGGAGTGTTTTTTGATGCTGCCTCGCATATTATCGATCTTTTTGTGCGGCGCATAACTAGTGTGAAGGTTCAGTCAAATATGTCGCGCGACTTATGTTGTCCTTTTGGCGTACTCCTTTGCCGAAATTTTGTCATAGACTCTGCCATACGCGTGTTATAACTGTTTTCTAATCTCAATTCTTCTTTCTGTCGTTAGCTTCAGCATGAGCTATACCAGGAGCGGATTTAGGGGGGGGGCGGACGCCCCCCCCCCTCAGGGATTCGAACGCCTGCCGACCCAAAGGGTCCCCCCTTTGTACTATTTTGAGATATCCATATTTGGTGACGGACCCTAAAAATTTTCTAAAGGCGCCTTTGGCGCCAATATATACTTGCTTTAAGGGGGGAGCGCGCGCCACAAAAAAATGCAATTTTTTGGTCAAAATTTTCCAAAAAAGCCTAAAAACGCCTTGTTTTGGGCTGTTTTTTCAAAATTTTGCCTGCGGCGAAGAAATTTTTGGCCCAAACAGGGACAAAACAGTGCTTTGGAAGTGCTCGAAAAACCAATTTGGTCGACATAAAAAAATGTCGACAAAAATTTCGAATTTTTTTTGAAAATCCGCCCCCCTCGAGAAAATCCTAGATCCGCCCCTGATCTATACTACTTAACATTGACCGTAAAGGTCAGCTTAACACAAATGCGGCTACTACAACCTGTATACACAATGAATTTAATGTCCTTAATAATAATAGTACACATATAAGTGCTTATGATCTAACAAAATGATTTGGCCGGTACGACCTTCCGCCTTGCGACAAAAATCTATCGCCTAATTTATCACATCTTCGTTATTCTTAACATTTTTCTTGTTATTTCACTTTCCCATCTCTTCCAAAAACGCCACGCATTCCTTGTGCTCAGTTATTTTTGGAATTCTTTTCGTTTCTTTGACTCTTGGCTCCATTTTTTTAAAAACAAGTTAGCCAGCGATGGGGCAGTCACAGTTTTCTCGGACCCTGAAGCTATCGGTATGCCGATGGTCTACATTTCTATTGGTGTGCTGAGCCCGGCTCGATATAGTGAAAAAATTGTTGCGTTTTATTCCTGCTTGTTTGTTTTTGCATTGTTCCCATGACGTGTGTGGTGAGTATTTCATAATTTTTTTTATTAGTAGATCCCCTAGATCTTCTGTTTTTCTAGTTAATTTATTTACTGTTTTCCTAGCCACCTGTTTGATCTTTTTGCTGTCAATTTTTTTGCCTCCTTTTGAATTTGTTGGCTAATTTTTAAGAGTAATGAACGTAGTGAAGACTCTTATATAGGTCTTGCTGATTTTTTTGTTTTTTTTTCAGGAAAAAGTCTTAAAATATTGATGCACTTAGCTATAATGCACTTTTTGAGTTCAATTGAAATTCATCGGCTGAAAGTGACGTAAATAGCACTCTCCAAATACGAACGTGGAAATAGCGCAAAAACGTGAACGATTTCTAGTTTCGAAAGTGGAATTTTTTTTAAGATTTCCCAGCGAAATAAAAACTTTACCTATTGATCCAGTTTTCTCAATTTGGGTTCATGTTATCAACAAAGCGCCAAACATAATTGTTCAAAAAATTCGAAGAGCCTCAAAGCATCTATTTTTTTTTTTTGAAATTTGAAAGTTTTTTTTCAAGAAAGTCAGTGGTTTTCTTATGTTTACTTGCGTTCATTACTCTTTTCCAATCTTCGATTGGCTATGTTTGAAAATCGTTGGTCTTGTTTTTGTTACAATTGCGAAAGTAAGTGTGTTTTACTCGGCAACCAGACTTTTTTACAGTAAAGAACTACTCCTAAAAGAAATTGAACTTGCTTTATCATTGAACCTTAATAAGTTCATTGCTCTTTCCCACCTTGCCTGGAGGAAATGCGGCCCTTTTTGCATCCTATATGAGT